GAGGGAGTATTAATTTTGATTTTTTTTGGGTTTACTTTTGCAATTTAAGATATTATGTGTACTCCAATATTATTTTTATCCTCCAGCTCTGAAAAAACTCACGTGACTGTCACATGCGTCTTCGTGGCATGACCGGCGCTTACGTGAACGCCACTGTTGCTGTATTGTCGCCCGCGTGGTCATCGGACTGGTGACGTGGAATTATTATTTTTAAAAGCATATATTTTTTTAAATTTCAATTTGGCCTAATTAGACCAAATTGCAAATAACATATTTGCTAACATATGTACAATTTGGTCCATTGGACCAAATTGAAATTAAAAAAAAAAAAACCCTAGAACAAATTGTTTGTCTCGCATTGTAAGGCAAAAATAATTCTCAGAGTACATAATATCCTAAATTGCGAAAGTAGAAAAAAAAAAAAGAAGAAGATAATTTCACGTCATTTGTCCAACGGACACGCGGACGACAATATAGCAACGGCGACGTCCACATATGCGCCGACCATGCCACGAAGGCGCACGTGACGATCATGTGCATTTTTTGAGTGCCGGAAGGCAAAATTAATGTCCGGAGTACACATAATGTCCTAAATTACAAAAATTTAAAAAAAAATATTCAAAAATAATAATTAGACCTAAATACATTCGCACGTGTGTAATTGTATGATTTGGTTTTATGTTTTACTATTCTATTATTTTTTTCCCCCAAAACATCACATCAAACACCTATTTTTTATTTATTATATTACACTAAAATTAAATTTTACATTCAAAACATCACATCAATATATATATTAAACAACTATTTCAATTCAAAATTTTACTATTCAAAACCAAAATCCAAAACTCAAATCTCGCATGTATACACACTTGTATTTTTTGCAGTTTTTCCAATGAAAAAATGATATCTAACTTCAAAAGAACGAACGATGTTGGCCTTCATAATTTGTAGTTTGCATATTTAACTTTTATAGATATACACCCATGTATCTGAGATGATGATGAGAGTGGGGCAACGAGGGGTGATTATGAGGATCTCCTCTCTACTACAAGGATATATGAGGTTGTTTTTGTGTGACTTGAAATTAAATTCATATTCATAAGGATAATTAAATCTAAACTTAATTAATTAGATTAATTATATATAAAAAAATGAAAATTATGTTTACATGCACACATTTTTTTCAATATTTATTTTCTTTCATTAAATATAATATTAAATATCTAGTTTTTTTATTTTATTTTAAAAATTTATAAAACTTCAAAAAAATTTATCTAACGTAGTCAGTTGTGGTGGTGCCCCTTCAAAATTTTTTGCATCCGTTGTCTTCTATACAAATGAAAACTTGTTGGCGAGTTTGGTTTGTGGAAGAAATCTCGAGCTTCTTTTCTTTATATTTTTTACTGTTATCAAATTTGGGTTTCTTATTTAATCAAAAATTTCAAATACATTTCTTCAAAAAAAATAAATTACTCCATCTTTTCCACTTAATTTGTCCATTTTTTTTATTTTCCGTCGGTCCCACGTAATTTATTATTTCCCTTTTTTGAAAATATAATTAAAAATTTTAATCACATTTTAAAATTCATAATTTATATATTTTTATTTTAATTAAACTATTTAGTCATCTTAATCTTAATCTATAACTATTTTTATTAGATTATAATTATTTTCACTTATACACTTCTTAATTAATTACTAATTACATAATACTTAAAACTTCGTGTTTAAGCTAAATGGGACAAAATAGCCGTGACGGAGACAGTAATATATTACAGACGTTTATTATTTTTATATTATTTACACAATTCTCTATACCTAATATAAAAAAATATTCTTTCAAACAAAAAAAACAAAACAAACACACCCTCTGTGTTTCTACTCATTCAAACCAAAACATAAAACTAATTCAATTATTTGATCAGTAAACTTTAGCCTCTATTAGTGGATATAAAAATTTATTCAAAATCATGTATATCATCTCCTTTTTATTTTTTACATGATTTTAGATTGAAAATGAGACCATCTCCAATTGAGTCAATTTTTTTATAAAATTTTTAACTCCACTCCAACAATATTTATCTATTTATATATTAAACCCCAAAAGCTCTTTCCAATAAATTTAAATTATTTTACTGAAATAATTTTAAAATAATAATAATAACAAATTCCGAACCCACCGAATTGAAAGAAAATTCAAACATAAGAAAGATCCTACTAATTGCTATAATAATAACAATAAAATAAAATAAAATTTTAAGAAAAAAAAAAAGAAAATCAAGAGTCACCACCGAATTGATATTCCACATAATAAAAATAAATAAATAAATTTTAAATACCAAATAATATTAAATTAAAATTAGTTTACATATGTAATATATTTATTAATTAATATTCATATATTATAAACAGGTTGTTACGTCGGGTTCGGATTGAAGGTCTCAATCATAACCCGATCTGTTTATTATTGTGTCGGATTCATGTTGACCAATTTACATAATCGGATCAAAAAATTTTACGAAAAATCGTGTTAGATTGTTGTGTAGTATCATATTTTAGTCCTCTCTAATTATGATAGATTAAGATGTGTAGTAAAAGTAGAATTAATTGGGATTTGGGAGACGACCATGATTTAACAATTCATATGGTATTTGGGAGGCGACCCGTAGTGGGGATTGATGATGGCGTTTTCGTGGTGGCCCCGATGGTTGTGCTGAGGCTTTAAGATTGAGAACCTGCCATGAGGTTCCTTACAATGACTCGACGAGATCGGAGTTGTATGAAATTTTCGTTAGACGTAGGATCAGCAATTTTGCTTCGCACTCCCACTGTGGTCGCCAATTTGTTGATGATGATTTCAATAATAAAAAGTAAAATTCGAAAATATATTTCGAACTTGAATGAAGAGTGTCGGAGATCACGGATCGCTAAACAAGCAGTACATAATATTGCTATAGAAAATAAAAAAGAACGCTGAAAAAGGATAATTGGAAAACTAAAATGATGATATCCAATGAGAATTTCTCTGAAATTGATTTCGATTGAAGATGTCCATCCTTTCTCACTGGGACTGCTTATATACGTATCAAACTAAACCGTCCCAAAGCTACTTTCACGTTGGTTACTGATCTGAACCGTCAGAACTGCTTCCACGTCGGTTACAAATCTAAACCGTAAAAAAACTACTTCCACGTCGGTTACAAATTTGAACCGTAAAAAAATTGCTTCTACGTCGTCAGTTAGAAATTTAAACCGTCAAAAAATCGCTTCCGCGTCGGTTACCTATTCGAACCATCCGAAACTGCTTCCTCGTCAGTTACCGATCCAAACCGCCTGAAACTACTTCCTCGTCGGTTACCTTTGTAACCAACCGCCCCAAGGCCCAAACTTGGATGAAAATACTGTCTAAAGGGTCAACCGTTCAATCGGTTGAATCCAAAAATCATCCCATCCGAATGGGTATGGCCCGACCACTGGACCACCACTGAGCCCATCTATTCATCTTTCCTAGGCACAAACTCTAATATTATTTTTGTACTTAATAATATTAAAATTTATTACTCAATCCGTTCACCTCTAAGGTTATATTTACCTTTTGTGTCATTGTACTTAACAATAAAAAAATTTTATATTCGTATAATTTTTTGTACAAATGTCAGTATGTTAATGTTATAAGACACCAATTGAAGTATTTTTGTAATTTTTTCTTAATTTGTAATAATAATTAACAATAAGAATGAAAGTAATAAAATAATAAAATAATTATATATTAAATTTACCATAATTTTATGTATAATTTCATAAATATTCATTCAAATCAAAATACTCAAAATTTGGAGATAATCTATTAGTATTAAAATATACTCCATTTAAGTATAATAAGCATAATCAAATCAATTAAAAAACACATACAAAATAACAAAAAAAAATGATTAATAGAAAGAATAGAAAATTTAAAAATACATAAATAATAAGAATAAAAATAATATATATATATAATAAAATCTATTAATTTTCTGTACCAATTCTTTAAATAATTTTCAAATTAAAAAAAAAATCAAAATTTAAACGAAATCTACAAAATTAATAAAAGCATAAGAATATAATGCTTGAAAATTAATCAAAATTAATACACAATAATAATTTATTTTTTTTTTTAAAAAAAACTTAATTAGTAAAAACTAAAATAAATACAATAGATAATTAAAAAAATACAAATACACAATAATAATGAAAATATTAAAATAAAAATAAATTTAACATATATTAAAACTTATTATATTTTTTATATGAATTTTCAAATATGCAAAAATTCAAAATCTAAAAATAATCCAAAAAATGGAAAAAATAATAATGAAATATATTACTCCACGTAAAACAAAATCAATTACAAAAAATATCATACACAACAAAAATAAAATAATAATAATTAGTAGGGAAATAAATGCAAAATAACTAATTAAAAGAACGGTTAATTCCCTTAAAATCTTTATGACTCAATATTTTTTCTTATTCAGTCTCCATCCTAATTTTGTTCCACACAATTCTCTATATCTCCTTAATTACTTCCTATTTATAATTTTAATTTGTAAAATTAATTTTATATCATTTTTATATCTTATTTATTTATTTATATTATCTTACCCTAGATAACTCCCAAATCAATTTAGAGCCAACCGCTACTGCACTCAAATCTTTCCACCCACCGACGCGTGCGACGGTGAGTCGGCGACAACAACCGAGAAATCAACTTCTTACTTCTCTCCGATGGTGAAGACGATCATGGCGAATAAAAATTGAAAGTGTGGTTTGAACTTCATCTCTATTTATTTATATTCTTCACGATGGATGATGAATCTCCCCTCAACCAACGGGGGCACCAACACCAATCTAAATGATCGCGATCGTGCATAAATATCACACGTCAAAGTCGAGTCCATACTCAAATGACTTCTAATATTGATTTAGGCTCAACATCGAGGTAAAAAATTTAATTTTATTTTGACAGTATTAATCAATTTTTATTTTTTTTTATGTAAAGTGAGAAATTTGAGCAGTTTTAAATATTCATTATATATTTTTGCTAATAAAATATAATTTATCTTTTTAAAAAGTTATTTTTGCTTAATATCTATACAAGGGCATTGCAATTTATATTACTTATTTTATGTTCCAAAGTAAACTAAATTGCAGGTTTAATTAAAAATTAATTTTAATTACTTTTATTTAGGCTTAATGTTAGTATGTTCTTTCGTTATTTCTAGAAAAAATATATGTATTTAGAGGACATAGAAAATAACGTGATTTAATTCCGAGTTAATAATAAATTGTGTATTATTATCCTCATGATAGTTGATTGGAGTTAATTTAATTTTTTTAAATAAACTCTTATTTTGATTTGATTTTCAAATTAAAGTTTTTGAATGAATAGGAATCCTTTTATAATTTTAGAGGTTTCTATACAAATTTTATTACATTTTTTTATCTCTTTATTCACTTTTACTTTTTGATGTTATTGTTATTATTTTAATGTAATACAATTTTATGTCGTAGAAAATATACGAAGATTCTTATTTCTAACATTTTTTATTGATTTATATGTTTAATTTTTATTAACAGATATAGTAATTTTCGGTGTTCTACTATTTTCTTTTAAAAAGAAATGAGTTCTTTGAAAAAAATTATGAAAAAAGTGCATTTTGATACCATTTGCCAAACTCAATGTAAGCATTTTTTGGATATGCCAAAAGGCACTATTCCATGGGATCATGTTGAAGCGTTAGTGACTCAATTTGATGGGTCAATACGAAAGTTCACATTTGGTAGGAATATTGTTCTACCATTTTCATGTGAAGAGTTTTCAGTCACAATAGGACTTAATTATAAAGGTCTACACGTAGATGATAACATCCTATCAACATTTAAATTACTTACAAGCTTGTTCAATGGAAAGGTAAGTAACGTCAAACACAAAATCATTATTGAACATATGAGGAGTGTTTTTAAAAAAGAAAGTAGTGAAGGAAACATTCGAAAATTTCTTTCTTTGTTTATTTTGTTTGTGTTTTGTTGTGTTTTATTTCCAATTGGAAATTACTCAATTACTCCATTTTTACTTCGGCATATTGACATTTTGGATTTCATTGGAAAGTATGCTTGGGGTAGAGCTGTATATGATTTTTTAGTGAAGTCAATGACATACTTCAAATCTCGAGAAAGAGTCTACTTGGATGGTTGCATAGTTGGACTAATGGTATATGCTTTATTTTTTTCTAATATTTTATAAATTTATAATTTAAATTTTCACAATTAGGTAACATTTTAAAAATTAATATTGCAGGGATGAATTTATGAAAGAATTCTCTCTCTAGCAAAGCTATGTGATGTACCTATTGTTCCCCGATTCATGAGGTGGATCGAGACAAAATTTATTGGAGATGGTGAAAGAAGTTTGAAGTTACCCGAACAAATTAAGCAATGGGATATTATTGAATTCACAGTCAGAAAAGTAGATGAGTTATTGATTAGACCACTGCAACCTGCACAAGAGATAATATTTATATTTTATTTAATTTACAGTATAATGTTTTAATATGCATATTTTTATAGGATGTTTATGAGGAATGCATGAGACTAAGAAATGAAGTAATATAAAAATAAGGCATTGATTGAGAAGCTTCGCACGCTACTACATGAATTCGAGGAGATATGTTTGGAAGTGAGGATGAGCGAGTTGAAAAGGTTGGGCCTAGTGATTCAAAGAAAATAGCTATTGATGAAATGAAAGTTGTATTGATTATGTGAAAGTTGTTGAGGACGGTGACTATGAAGAAGTCTATGAAGATAAAGAGAAATTAAATAGCGAAGAGGATGACGTCAAAGCTCATAATAAAGAGGACACAATTGAAAGGGCTGAGAAAAATAAGTGCGCGAAGAACTTGATTGGAGAGAACTTTGATAATATATGCATTTTAGAACACTTGATATCATCCATTGCCCAAAATGTTTGTGATCGAAATGATAAAAAAAGAAAAAAATGTAGTTCATTTATGACTCCACCTACCTCTCCTCCGCCAAATCAAATAAGAAAGAACAAGAATAAAACAATAGTTAACCTCCCTATTGTGGTAAGTAAGAATAATTGTTTTATTATAATAATATTTATTATTATTTTTTTACAAGTAAATAAGAAATTGATATTCTCCTAAGGAATATGATAAGTATCACAAGAATCTTAACTTCAAGGGGAGAGAAATCATTTCTGAAAATGGACGTGAGATTATTGATAACTTTCTTTGCAATGCAAAATTTAGGTAAGTAATATTGTTTTAGTTTTGGTTATTTTTAATGATATTTTCAAATACATTTTATAGTTTTTATTTCGTAGGGTCACTATTTGGAATTCTGAAGATCAACATGTAGTTGGAACATCCATTATTGATGTTTTGTTCAACCGTTCTACACGTGGTGAGGTTATTGATGGATTTAACGAGATTATTTGTAGGGAAGTGCACAAACACTTTAATAATCTGGATCACATTATAGGGTATGTTTCATCTTTTTTGCGGTAAGGTCTATTTTATTTTTCATTATTAGTATTATTATATAAAATATCTATTAATAACGTCTATTGTGTTTCAGAAAAGCTTTATGAGTGAGCTACGCACCAAGGGATTTAAACTGGTTCTGTACCACTAAATAATTTTGATGACTTTCTTGGTTATTTGTGGGATCCTGTGAAAAATGGTTTCAATAGAATAGCATCAGAAATGTGTCGTGGTTGTCGGTATATCCTTATTTTAGTTTTGACTGGCTTCCATTGGCACCTTCTTGTTATTGATTCTAAGGAAAAATGTATTACTCACCGCGACTCTATGCCTTCTCCAAAATCCAGGGGTGATGCAAACACTCTAGTAGACTTTTATTTTAATGCGAGTACAATTTCACTTTAAATATACAACTTGTAGTACTAATATATGTTATTTTATTGATGTTTTGTTCAACCGTTCTACACGTAGTGAGGTTATTGATAGATTTAACGAAATTATTTGTAGGGAAGCGTACAAACGCCTTCATAATCTGGATCACAGTGTAAGATATGATATGTTTCATCTTTTTTTTACGGTAAGGTCTATTTTATTATTTATTATTAGTATTATTATATAAAATATCTACTAATAACGCCTATTATGTTTCAGAAAAGCCTTATGAGTGAGCTACGCACCAAGGGATTTAAAACTGGTTTTGTACCACTAATAAATTTGATGACTTTCTTGGTTATTTGTGGGATCCTGTGAAAAATAGTGTTAATAGAATAGCATCAACAATGTGTCGTGGTTGTCGGTATATCTTTGTTCTAGTCTTGACTGGCTTCCATTGGCACCTTCTTGTTATTGATTCTAAGGAAAAATGTATTACTCACCGCGACTCTATGCCTTCTTCAAAATCCAGGGGCGATGCAAACACTCTAGTAGACTTTTATTTTAATGCGAGTACAATTTCACTTCAAATATACAACTTGTAGTACTAATATATGTTATTTTATTTATGTAATGTAGGGAAAGTTTCTTCTTCATTTTCTTCGATTTAAGGTCCATGGTTGTAATTGGAAGTCAAGGAATCACGGCAAGTCAAGTACCCAATTTTGTCGAAAACAAGATCCAAAAAAGCTTGATTGTGGTATGTTTGTGTGTCTCTGGTCTGAATGTTACATCCATGATATATCTACTTGATGGGACTATGAGAATACAGTGAATATTGAACACTATCGAGCTATTGTTGTTGCTTCTTTGTTGAGTGATGCTCGAAATGAATGAAAAGAAATTCCTGTTGATGGACAAAAGGAAGTTGGTTTGTGCGTTTCTAATTTTAAATATTGATATCAATTTTTTTTTTCAGACATGAATTAATCCGTTAGATGTTGGCATGAGCCAAATTTATTATCAAGTTTTGTTCTCTGATGTGGTAGGTACTTTTAGACTCCATTAACAACACTCTTACCGGATGTCTCGTGTACTTGTTCATACTTTGTTCATGTTCACTAAATTGTTATATTCTACCATTGTGATTTAAACCCAAGTAAATGAATTATTATTATTATAATAATAATTATTATTAATATTATTATTATTATTCTATGGAATCAAACAATTTATTGTCAGAACGATGATTTGTTAAGACAAGGGCTTGTACTTTTTTTATTTCATTTTTAATACTTTATTGTAGATAAATCAATACTTCTACAAAGTGTATCGTGCATCGTCATCATAATTTTTCTACGAATATTGTCAACCATTCCAACTAATAGGCATGGATCGTGCTTCTCTAACCCAATTATTCCAACATTCGGCAATATTATTGTTAATCACCCCCACCGATTTCCCTCAAAGATAGAGTTGGCCCAACACTCAGGATGAGAACGTTTAATAAAATCCCTAACAAGTGGAATAGATTCCAAAATTTTACTTATCTTTTGTTCGAACACCTTTCTCTTTGAAGCATATGCAGCTTTTTGGAAAACAGTGGTCGATGTTTTTTTGTTGTGATGTGGGTAACTTCTCATCACCTAAAAAAAAACAAATAAAACATAAAAACTATGTGCATATATATATATATATCATATATTATTACAAAATATAAATATGTTTACCTGTTTTTTTTAAAGTTATCTACTAGGTGTCTTAGGCAAAAAGCATTGTGACTACCAGGAAACAACGTAGGAATAGCCTTAAGCAATCCAAGATAACGGTCTGAGAAAAAGGTGTATGCATTCCAGACTAATCGACTATTCATATCAATGATGATTCTCAATTTAGAACAAAACCATTTCCGATTATTCATATCAATGATGATTTTCAATTTAGAACAAAACCATTTCCGATTATTATCATTTTTGGCATCCATAACTGCATTTAAATAATGATATTACAATTATAATCTATGACTCTATCAAAACATGTATATATAAAAATTAATTCATATAAATATACCTACATATGCAATGGTAAATAGATCATCATTTGGATCGAGAGTCACGGCACTTAATAAACAACTCTGATACTTAGTTTTTATATGTGTCCCCATCAAGAAAAATTAATGGTTTGCATCATCGGATAAACCCAATCAGACAAGCTTCGAAGCACAGAAATAGCCTTTGGAACTTATTAGTGCTAGGCTCAATCTCTAGATTAACAATATTTCCTGGGTTAGTGTGTTTCACTGCAGCGCAATACCAACGCAACTTGTCAAAAAAGTATCTCTCAGCCTCATGAATATCTTAAATTTCAATTTTCTTTCCTATCCATGCTTTCTTCTACTTGAGTTCAATGCCGTATGTACGTAGGATGTCTTTTTGAATATTTTTGGGCTTATAGGAAGGTTCATCTTTCAACTTTTCTTTCACAATATGTGATACCCATGTCAAGTCTGCTTTTGGATGACTTTTACTTTGAACATTTTCTTGCCCACAACTATGATCTAAGTTGCATTTTCTAATGCAAAATAATCCATCAATAACATGCTTTGAAGCATATATTCTCCACTCACAATCTTTCACAGAGCAAATGACCATAACTTTTTGTTGATCATTTTTAACATACTTAAATGACTTCAAAGTTGCAACACTATACTTCTTCAAAACTTTTCGAAACTTATCTGCATTCTTAAATGATTGTCCTTCTCCATTTATGTCATGACGCCATGCATCTAACGGATTACTTTCACAAATTACTGCAGTGTTTGTATTATTCATCCCATCCATGATATTAGACCTTCATACATAATTTGACTTATTAGAATTAAAACACCAAAATTATATATTATATTGAATAAAAAAACTTACATAATTTAGATTACATACCCGGACGTTTGTCTAAAAATATTATGATCAATGTATGTTTCACGCCTTCATATAGCAACCATATCAACCATGTTCAATTTCAAGATTGAATGCAGTCGGCACATATTTTTTAAATTCTCATCTCCATCCAAAGTTACATATAACTTGTACGCTGAGAATAAATATTGTAGTTTTTAGATATCGGATCAATATCGCTCCATTTTTTTGCAAAACTTGCATAGATATCTGCCAGCATAGTGTCTTTTTGGAGTGACATTACATGCAGTTCATTTTTATATTTGCACGCAACCAATATTCCCCATCCTTCTTGATCTTCTGTTATTTCTATAATAATAAAATATAGCAAATACATAATTAGTTAAGTATAGCTTCTTCTTTTTTTCCTGTTTACTTTTCTATTACTATTATGTAAAAATATAAAAATAAAACTATCAACATAATATAACCAATTAAATACTAAAAAACATCATTAAAGAAAAATATTATAACTACAATATTTCTATATGAGCCTAAAATTTCCACATGACGATTACGAAATTAAAAAAGGTCATAAAGATAAATAAAAGACAGAACATTTAGCTCCAGGGCATAAAAGTCTAAACTTGTCGCAAAGGATTTTGAACAAGAATGTACATTCACTTTCAAATATTAATATCTTATCTCTATGCATATTTATTTTATGTACGTTTCTATAGTGATATGAGATTAATATACTATATATTTGCTAACGGTAAGTATTTTTCTTCTGATAGAAATTTTGTTTTATAACTCTCTCGATAGATTAACAAACTACAAAATACAATAACTCTCAATAGATTAAGAAGATAATAATTACCGTATAATAAAATTTAGTTATTTACTATACAAAGAAGCAATAATCTAATGATTTATTTATAAAATAAAACACTGTAAAAATTTTGAAATATAAATATTTATATCATTCAAAGATTATGTATTCTAAATTGAATAAAATTTTCATTACCTGTGACCGTCCTAGTTATTTCCATCTCTTGTAGCATTGTCCGGTAGTTGATATCGCCATTCATCGGTTCCATTTTGTTCGCAAATAAGAAACAAAAAAATAAAATTAGGGTTCACGTTTGAAATTGGGGAAGAAAGATAAGAAATATGAAATAAAGTAAATAAGGGTATTTAAATACTTTTAGATGAGCAGTGAGTGATAAGGAAAAAAATTATTAGAATAGGGAGTAAAGAAGAAAAATATATATATATATATATATATATAAGGAGTAAATAAAAATTTGTATTAAGAATTAAAGATTTTTTTGGAAGTTACCCTTAAAAAAAATACATATACAATAAGAATTAAAGTACTACAATAAAAATAAATTTTTATATTAAAATTTACTATTCATTTCGTCCAATGTAATTTGGATCTATTATTGTAGATACTATAATTTAGGTAAATTATAATTAGTAAATAATTAAAAAATGTATTAGTAAAAATAATTATTATATAGTGAAAATAATTATAAATTAAAATTAAAATAACTAAATAGTTTAATTAAAATTATAAAATTTAAAGTGTGATTAAAGTGCAAAGTTATATTTCCAAAAAAGGAAGGGGCAAATTGTGTGATACCGACGAAAATAAAAAATAGAGAGAAATTATGTAGGAGGGGAGAAGTATAATTATTTTTTATAAATTTCTCAAAAAAAAAATTAATTCAAAATACTCAAAATTTGGATACTACAAAATAAAATAAATTAAAAAGATTAGTAGAAAAAATAGATAATTTAAAAAACACATACTAAGAATAAGAATATTAAAATAAAAATAAAATTTGTATATATTTAAACTTACTATAACTTTCTATATGAATTCTCCAAAAAATTTAAAAAAAAACGTAAAATTAAAAAAATATATATAATACTCAAAATCAAATTAATTAGACCAAAAAAATTAGAAAAAAATAAAGTATATATTAAAATTTACCATAATTTTCTATATAGATTCTTCAAATATTCTTTTAAATCAAAAGATTCAAAATTTGAACATTATTTACAAAATCAAAAAAAGTATTTGAATATAATATTAAAAACAAATCAAT